ATTGTAAATATGTTCAACATTGAGAATTTAGCCGAGGCCAAGAAGTTGGCCTATCCACTGTTGACTGTAAGTAGGAAACAATTTACGTAATTGCCATATCTTATGTGTGATGTTTGCAGGAGACGACCACATCGTTGCTGGAATTAATACCCAACACGGTGACCACCAAAGGCGTCTTCACACAGTGGCACGAGCTTCTCGGCTGGCACACACCCTGTGCGGAACCTGCGCAGAACCAGAATGTTGCACTGATCAAGAAACAGTTTCATATGCTGTGGGACCATCGCTGCATTAAGCTGCTCCTCGGGGATCTGCTGAAGGAAATCAACGAAAACTACGAACGCATTGAGTTTCATTCACCGCAGCAGCCCTCAACCAGCAACTTGATACGTCGCGCTCTGGAGCGCAGCTCCACACGTGGCAGTGGTCTATTGGCCAGTGCTGCTGGCAAGCAGGCAAAGGTGCAATGGCGCAAGCTGGACAATGGCAATGTGGTTCAGGTGTCACGCATTTGTGGCATGTATTATGCGGCCTTAAATACACTCTCCCAAATGAAACTAGACATTTTGACTGGCATTTGCTATAATGACAATGTTCTGTACGATATCTGGCTGCTGCTGACTTCATTGGGACCCAACTGCGGCATGAAGGAATATCTGGACTTGTTGAGATGCGAGACGTTAGTGCAAAAGCCACAGATAGCCATGCTGATGCTGTTCTGTGACTGCATGACACACTATGTGACGTAAGTTCTATTTATGATTCCAGCTTTAAGCTTTTTAATAATTATACCTCTCTATTTACAGCATTCTGGACGAGTATGAAATGTATACAGAACAGAATCCCTTTCGATTAAACGACTATGTTATGCTAACATATTTTCTCAATAATATTCTCTACAAACTAATCAATGACAACATTTTGGGTATGAATGAAACATTCGCATTTGGTTAAAAGTTTCTTTAACTAACTGGATTGTTTTTATCTTTCTAGGTGCCAAAAACATTGTACAGAATCCGGTATTTGTTTCACTTCATACGCTGTTGCTGTGTTTATATCGACGCGACTGTCGACGTCCCTTCACACCCCCAAATCACTGGCTCATCCCGGAGGTCAAGCCATCGACTTTTATCAATGATCTGGAGAAGGCCAAGCGCAATGCAATGCTGTTGCTGGCCAAGATGCCACATATTATACCGCATGAGGATCGGGTCAAGTTGTTTCGAAAGTTCGTACAAAACGAAAAGGCTGTGATGGGTCTGACGGAGAGCGCGTGTGCCTCACCGCGCTCAGCGCTGATTGTCATTCATCGGGAGCGTATTGTTGAAGATGGCTACCGTCAGTTAGTAGCACAGCCCACACATGCGCTGAAAGGTGTAATACGAGTGCGCTTTATCAATCAGCAGGGACTGCACGAGGCGGGTATTGATCAGGATGGCGTATTTAAGGAGTTCCTGGAGGAGACCATTAAGAAAGTGTTTGATCCATCGTTGAACCTGTTCAAAACCACCTCCGATCAGCGACTGTATCCGTCGCCTATTTCTTATGTACAGGACAATCATTTGCAATTGTTTGAGTTTGTGGGAAGAATGCTCGGCAAGGCTGTTTACGAGGGAATTGTAGTGGATGTGCCGTTTGCTTCGTTCTTTCTTTCCCAGCTGCTGGGGCAAACTCAGCAAGCGCTCTACTCCTGCATGGATGAGCTGCCCTCGCTAGACAACGAACTTTACCGCAGCCTAACATTTATCAAGCATTATAAGCAGGATGTGGCCGATTTGAATTTGACTTTCTCTGTCGATCAGGATGTCATGGGCAAGATTGTTACACACGAACTGCACCCTGGTGGCAAGGCGCGCGTAGTGAACGATCACAGCAAGCTGGTCTATATACACTACATGGCCTACTTTCATATGAACACACAGATTCGCGAGCAGACGCAGGCGTTCAATCGCGGCTTTCGCAGCATTGTCAATCCCGAGTGGCTATCTCTGTTTTCGCCGCCGGAACTGCAGCGTCTTATTTCGGGTGACACGGTGCCGTTGGACCTGAAAGATTTGCGTAAGCATACACAGTATTACGGCGGCTTCCATGACTCACATCGCGTTGTTGGCTGGTTGTGGGATATACTGGCCAAGGATTTCACGGAGGACGAACGCAAACTGTTTCTAAAGGTGTGCAGCTAAAGGACTTTTTAAATTGATCTAGTTTCTAATGATGTTTTTATAGTTTGTCACCAGCTGTTCCAAACCACCATTGCTGGGCTTTGCGCACCTTGAACCGCCGTTTTCCATACGCTGTGTGGAGGTGGGCGACGATGAAGATACCGGTGACACTATAGGCAGCGTTATACGCGGCTTTTTTACCATACGCAAAAAGGATCCGCTTAATCGCCTTCCCACCTCATCCACTTGCTTCAACCTGCTTAAGCTGCCCAACTATCAGAAGAAGTCAACGCTCAGAGATAAACTGCGCTATGCCGTCAGCAGCAATACAGGCTTTGAGCTGTCCTAAAACTGGAGCTGGAGCTGGAGCTGGTCATGTAGCTGCTACATATCAATTGCGTATTGAGCTTTCGGTGTTGTTATTTTTTTTCCTTTGTTGTTCTCGGCCCATAAGTCTTGCAGAAATGTTGTTATATATGTATTCTTTTTAAAACCCCCACTTTTTATATTTTTATCAACATTTTCATGTTGAATTTTTATACTTGTAAGTTTCTTGCAATTGTAAGTATATGTATGTGTGTGTGTGAGTGTGTGCGTGTGTGTAGGTATTTTATGAAATATATTTTTAAAAACCAAATTTAAAAAAAAAAAAATAAAAAATATATATCTATATATGTATATGCATAAACGTATAGCTGTGATAAACATTTAAATAAACTAACGACAAATACACAAAAAACAAAAAAGAAAAAGAAGCTGAATTAACGTGAAATATAAAAATTAAAAAAAAAACCACATAGTTAAATCGAAATTAGTATAAGATTAAAACGAATATTGTATTATACGTGGCTTGCGTGCGATAAATCCGCAAATTGCATAAGTTACATGTAAAATATTGAAACCCTAAAGGAACAGCAACAATAAATCTATATGTCTGATTCATGTGCAAAACGTAAGCTCGCAGCTCGTTTGCTTAATGTAAGTGTGTCGACTTTACATGGTAGCCTAAGCGCATTGCCAAAGATAATAAACAAATTTGGAAGCCAAAGGACAGCAATTAGTGAATGACTGCTCGAAATTTCCCCGGGTTTTTCCGGGAGCTGGCAATGAATGAAAGCCATAGACGAGGTCTGCGACGTTGCGACGCGCGCGCTATTAACACAAATCCGTCTGGACTGTGGCTTCTGTGCAGGAACGCTAATTGCCTGAGTCATGAGTAGATAGGAAGGAAGTGCACTTAGGTCTTCGTATAAGCTGAATTGTTGCGCAGTATTTCTGCAAACCTGGTCAAATTACCGGATACTCATTTGACTGATGACTCAATGTGGATTTCGTCAGATAAGAAAGGGTTTCTGGTTCCATTTACAATCTTTTATTTCACGAATATTATTTGACATTTTTCTATCGCAAAGGATCTCAGGTGTTCCGGTTTGCCTTTTATGCTCCAAGCTGTGCGTCGTTGCGGTTTTTGTCGGCCCAACTCTCCTTTGAGTCTGGCTCTCTGTTGAGTCTAGACAATAAAACTAAATTGCAGAGCCGACCCACAAACATACAATAATCATAACAATAATATCCAAAATGCCTCATGGACACGACAACAGTCGGCGGTCGGCGGTCGGTTGTTAGCTGTCGCTCATCGTTGGGCCATAAAATGCACATCCTTTGTGGCCATTGTTCGCAGCATCCCTGGGACAAAGTGTGATCGTTTTTATGACTCGCCTGTGAGTTTATGCCGACAGTGACGCCGACGTTGTCATTTTTGTCGTCCTACTGGTCCCCGGACAAGTGGCAAAAGGTGACTGCAACTGGCAGTCAAGTGGCCGTTGCGGCTGTCGCTTGTCTCCTGGCGCCAGTTTGATGTTCCTCTACAAATTGTTGCGCCCCTCCAGCTACAAGTACCGTTTAAGATTTGATTACGGCAACTTATCACAAGGCGGATCTCTCTTTGGTTTCGGTCCACGGTAGCGATACAATTTTTGGCTTCCATAAGCGGCAGCCTGTATGCTGATTTAAGATAAGTCCCAAATACATGTATCCTCTTCAGCCAGATGGGAGATTACCGATCGAGTGTGATTTGTGTATTAGTATTTACAAGATGAAACAGAAAATAATATGGCCTCGCTTATAAATTTAACATTTTTGTATGAGATCCGAAAGATTTAAATCGTGCCTAGCAAAAGTTTTATTGAAAATTCTGGAATAAGTTTCCAAAGGTTTCAATATTATTAAGACAAGATAGAATGGCCAACTTCCGTGTGCCGAAGATTAAATACGTTTGAAAACATAAGGCTTGGAGGAGACTTTATGGAATAACTTTATTTCCGTCCGATTGTTTCTACAATATTTGGATTTGAAAAAGCTCTGCAAATGTGTTGGAGGCATAGTCAAGCCCGTAATTGGTGAGTTTAGTCATGATGTCATGCAAGCCACATAGTTTTTCCATACAACTATATAGAAAATAGTATTATTCAAACTGAGACTATAAACAGACACGTCAACTCGACTTTGATACTGAACAAGAATATATATGCTTTATGTGGCCGGAGAAGTATAAAAAAAAACACAAGTATTTGGAAGGGCCCTGTTCTTGGCATTGTCTATTTGGATAAAATGGGTTTTCGGCTTAACAACTAAGAAATCTCTATTACGCTTTTCAATATAAACTCTTTTAAGCTAATAGGCCATTATGATTTGGCCCAGATCTAAAACATTTCCATTTCCATTTCCATTTGCATTACTATTTATAATCAAATGTATAGTTCAAAGAGATGCCCCCCAATGCAATCAATGCTATCAACATTAATACGGGCGCCCATTATTTAGCTCGAGCAACGAAAATGTAGTTCAAAATGGCGCACCCATCGCCGAGAGCGAGACAGCAAGATATGCGGCGCTGAGCAGCGACCAATGCGAGCTCTGTAGATGGGAGAGCGCTGACTGAGAGCCGTTTGAGTGGAGAAACAGGTCGTGCCGCTACCTGAAGCGGCGGAAGAGAGAGAGAGCCGAAAACTGAACCGACCGCATTCTGTTGGAATTGAGTTTCTAGCGCACGATTTTCAGAGCGCAACAGTTTCAATCTGAACAGCGTAGCGAGCAGTTCGTTAGCGAGAAATAGCAAGATTTTGAATTGAATAAAAGAAGAAGAAACAAGTTTTGAGCGTGATCAATAGACGCGTACTTAACATTATTAATATTTACTAAGAGTACTTGAGCTTAAATATGTTGGCGCTGCCAAACATTGCCGATCTGCGCATGCACCAGCAGATCGCCCACGAGATTTATCGCCAGCAAATTATGCAACGCCTGCCGGGTATGTAGTATATATCAGTGTTATCTATGCTTTGCCGTCGGCTATAACAACTCTTGCATCTCTTGCAGATCCACTGTGCGGCTTACTGCCCAATTTCGGCACACATTTTGTGGCAGCAGCACCGGTGCAACCCTCGCTGCCGGGCGTGGATGCTAAGCTGGAGAACAATGAATTGTGGCAGCAGTTCCATCACATTGGAACCGAAATGATCATCACAAAGAGTGGAAGGTATGTAGGGGCCATCATTTGCTTAGTCTATCTTTGTCAGCCAGCTTATCTCATACTCATAAGTATGGCATGCAGGCTGCGATAAGGCATAGAATGAGATCACAGAGCATGTTAGTAACCGCCATTATGATTGCCTCACTTTATCCAGACGCATGTTTCCCTCGATGCGCGTTTCGTTGAGCGGACTGGAGGAGGATGCCAGCTATTGCGTGCTGCTGGAAATGGTGCCCATTGGCGACTGCCGCTACAAGTTCTCCGGCTCGCAGTGGGTGCCAGCCGGCGGTGCCGAGCCACAGAGTCCGCAGCGCATGTTTTTGCACCCGGATAGCCCGGCGACGGGCAAGCACTGGCAGTCTCAGGCGCTGCTCTTCAGCAAAGTAAAACTCACCAACAATACGCTGGACAACAATGGACATGTAGGTGTAGTCTCCCAATTGAAACGCTCCACAGTCACTTATCAGAAAATATCTGCTTATCTCCCATAGATTGTCTTGGCCAGCATGCACAAGTATCAACCCCGTTTGCATGTCATTCGCACCGCTGATCTGACGCAGATACCCTGGGCTCCACAGCAGGCCTACGTCTTTCCCGAAACGGAGTTTATAGCTGTGACAGCCTATCAGGTGTGTGATCGAAGCCCCGATCGATCAATTCATCAATTACTAATATTTCCTTTCCACATTGCAGAATGATCGCATCACGAAGCTTAAGATCGACAACAATCCCTTTGCCAAGGGCTTTCGTGAGTCGGGTCAATCGCGCTGCAAGCGCAAGCTTAGCGAGTCTCCTCCTGCAACTGCTCAGGTAAGCCCAGCAGGAACAGGAGCCGCCAATGATATGGAGCGCACTGTTTCGCCGTCGGCTAAACGCATGCGTCTGACTGACGAGCTGTCGATGCCGCACCAGCAGCCCTCTGGTCTACGATTACCGCGCCATTATCTGTTGGATACACTGGAGGCCAATCTCTTTCTGTCAGCGCCACCGCCGGCCCTGCCATCCATTGAATATGCCAGACACATCGCCAGCTATCCAAGTTGGGCACGCTCGCCGCCATCGCCCGGCTCGTCGTGCGCCTCCTCCAGCTGCGACTCAGCCGCCGAGCCAGAGACCGATACCTTTGTGGACGTAGTGGGCACCACGACTAGCACAGCTGAGCCCGACCTGGAATCCGAATCGATTAGCCGAATCGCTGGTATTGCCAATGCTGCCGCAGCAGCTGCTGCCGTTTTGCCAAAGCCCAAGCGCAGAAGCTTCAGCATCTTGGACATATTAGGATCGAGCGTCTCGATTTAGCTGCTGTGCGGGGCAGCAGTTGCTGCTCCCATTTCAGTTGTTGCTCCTAAGTGCCTTATACATTTAATTAGCGTTTAGTTGCCAGCGTCGTCTGCGGCGTAGTCAGTAAGTTAAATTGTGATATTTTGCAGTTAATTAAGATTTCCAGGTATTTACCATCAGTATTTATCCTAAGTATTTATTATGCAATTTTAATTGTTTAAACGATTTCGTAATGGATTTATTGTCTTTGGCATTTTAGTGCGAGCAAATAAAGATTTTTTAGAAGAATTTCAGCAAAGCATTTTCTTATGGATGCATTAAAAGAACATGGAATACCTGAAATTCTTACTAAATATAATTGTCGAGCTTTTCTTAAATGGAATTTCGCGTAATATACAACATTATTATAAAAAAAAGGTTCAACTTGTTAAGTAATCAGAAGAAAGTTTTCATTTAATTGACACTGAAAGTTAATATAGTTGTCATTTCCTATGTACTCTGCTGCCTAGGTTAGGTTTTTAATTTATATAACCTAGCAGAAGCATAAAATTTGTATCACGAAATGCGTAACACATAGCTCGAGACATCTCCGACTCCATATATGCTTTTAAGTCCAGTGTAAAATCTCATAAGAATATGTTAGAATCTGCCATAGTTAAGTGGTATGAAGAAAATCTTGTTTGTTTTTCAAAAGATTATTATAACTAAACTTGGTTTTTCCCAGTTTCGTCATGCACCTTAAGATCAAAAGACCATACACATTGGAAATCTATATAATGTGTATAGGAACAAATAATTAGAAGTAAAGTTTTTATATAAATATTTTTGTGTTAAATCTTCGGCGTCTTGCAAAACAATTATCTGCAGTCCCATAATCCCTCTTGACCAGACGCATTAATTTAGATTAAGTTGAGTTTTCATTTAGTTTTTAAAAAATCTTTTCTGTGCTTCCATTTTGCTCACATTTTTTGTATGCATAAGTGCGTCTCCTATCTTTCGCATGTTAGTCATAAAAACCAGTTCCAGCTCCAACTTGCCGTGGTTCACAGAGTCCCACAATACGCTCTCCCGTTTATATGCTCCGCTTGGGTTCGTCGAGCCGGCAACAGCAACAGCAACAAAAACAACAACTACAATGCCGACGACATGAGCTTATCAGCAGATCAGAGAGCGCCGCATCTTAAATGCTGGCGCCAGCGCCAGTGCGCTGATTGAGCGCGACGCCAGGTAATCCTGGCCAGCAGTTCGCCGCAAGGTAAGAGCAAATGTAATTGATGTTTTCACGTTGTAGTTGTTTGCCATTTACATGCAAAATTGTTTCAGTCAAAGCCTCACACATGCAACTTGTTGCGCTGGCCAACGGAAATGCGGCGGCATCTTTGAATGGCCACCAGAGTTGGCCAAGCGGTAGCCGAAGCGAGACACGGCTATTGCCTAAATTGCAAATCTTCGACGGTGGCATTTCATTTCAAATCGCGTTAAGAAACAATTGTTAAGCGGCTGATTCCCCAACTTTCTGCTCCGTCTACAGCTCCATGCCCGCCGCACACGTAGCAACAACCTGTTTTCTTCTCGGTGGGGACATCTGTTGCTTGTCGGCTGTGGGGCTGCAGTCCCATTCATGTTGCCGCTGGAAGTGTTTATGGGCTCCACATTAGCCACACTGCATATTCATGTTAAACGTCGCCAAAAAGACTAACGACGCCAAACGGCTATTGTGTTGTTGTAGCCGTTTCTTTGGGTTATTTGCTAAAATTTATTGAATCCTCATTTAGGAGCAGCAGCCAGAGTGCCCCACAAACCAGAGCTAGGCGCAGGTTCAAAAACGTTCGCATGTCAAACTCAAATGAGCGCCGTCGCGGGCTCTGGTCTTCCAGCGGCAGATAAGCGAACTTTTTGTCCCAGGCCTTGTGTTTGCTATGTATATGCTCCTGCTTTTATTGTTTGTTGTTGTGATTGCAGTTGTTGTTGCCCTCTCTCTTTCCTCTCCCTTCGTCTCTCTTGTGTACATGTAATTTCGTTGGAAATTAATGTTATGGCGGCCAAAATCAAAGTCATGGACATTTCGTTGGCGACAATTTTATCGGCAGCGCAATGAAATCATTTAGAGTAGAGATGGGCGCCAGCCGTAGACGTTGCGTTGCAATGTGTCTCTATACGAGGCACGCAGGATGCAATACACACTCACGATCGCACGGGATTTGGCTGAAACTTGCGCTTAAAATCATTGGTTTTTTAATCGGATATGTCGTCTTCTACCCCCTACAAAGTTTAAAAAATGACTAATTGTATCATTGCATATCGAACTTTTTTCAGTTTTGTCAGAGTCCCGACCTTCTGCAAAGTCTTTAATTATTTCAGAAGTGTCTGAAACCAGAATTTTATTAATGCCTCTAAAGTTAGAAAACAATTAGTATATAAACATCAATGTGACTTAACTGAAATGCAAACATTCTGCTTGCACAGATTTTTGTTAGGGGTGATAATCATTGAAGGTGGTGCGACGTCGATGCCAGTGATTGGGATTCTTGTACTCCCAAAGATTAGTTAAATCGTAACCAGCCGGTACAACGATGTGTGGCTTTTGGCCAGGTAAAACACTTTCCTCAGGCACTACTGGCATATCCTCAAAGGGCGAAACGTACATCTTGATCTCGGGAGTAGTCTGAAAGCTAGCTGATTGGCCGCTACTCGACTGTAAAAATAAGGATTATTGCATATTTGGAGAAATAATTTTTAGTGGATTTACCTTATTTGGGGCCCCAAAGAACTGCTTGGTAATTTTGCCTTTCTGTTGCTCCCCCACCGAAATATTTTTAAATTGATCGATGTTTTTCGTATTAAAGTAGTCATCTAAAGCAGCCGTAAATTCGCGTGTGAGCGAACGTTTACGTTCCGGATAGTTTTGCTGCTCTTCAATCCAAATTTCCGTGAAGGCAAACCTTTGCAATGCCTCCGTATTGGGACTTATATCTAGGGCATCCTTCTTTATTGGGTTGACTGAAGGAGATGCGTTCATGTTGAAGAGGTCCATATCGGGCATCTGAGAGTTGCCTGCCAACTTCGGCACCATATGATGGCACATTGTTAATGGATTTCGCGAAGGAGTCACTTTTGGTGATTCATATTGGATCGGCTTTGCCACCGAAGCGCCTGCACTGGAGCTACTTGTGGCAAGCGACTCAGAAGCTTGACAATCAACACGAAGATTTGGATTCTGTGCAAAAGTGATTAGATAATTATTTGGATTAAAATAGTTGCGATGTGCACTTACAATCTTGATAGCATTTTTATTAAACTCAAACTCAGCAGAGGAATCTGAAACTTCGGGGCCATCGTCTATGTCGGAAAACGATCCCAAGTCAGATGGCTCGCTACTGCTTTGAGCGAAGGAGTGAAAAGAGTCGTTCTCATCATCAATTTCAGCACAAAACGTTTCCGGAATATGATTATTCAAACTCATTTTGCGATTTTCTCTCCACACCAGCAAAGTGTTTCATTAAATGGCATTCAAAAGTAGAGATGGGTGCGTGACTTAAAATAGGATGGAGCTATTTTACTGATTAATTGACCTTGACCAGTGTGTCACCCTTCGATTATTAGATCGAGAAAGATCGAGGGAGAAAGATAAAAATGATAAGCAAAAGATAAAACAAATATGCAAAAATAAATATTATTCACAAAATATAGGGGTTAGAAGTCTTTATAAATAAGGATAAGAACATTTGCATGATAAAGATTTAGTCTTATGCATGCGGCAGAAACGTCATCCTTCGAGTTATTTTCTTAAGTATTATTAAATGCAACCGTTTTTTAAAATGAATTTTTTTTTTTATAAGAATAATTATTTTTTTTAACATCGAACTACATTATTTTCTATTCACAGCTTTATCATCTGGCAAAAGCTGAACTTTTATCTACATTATCGATATTTCGATACTCATGAATTATCGATAAGCTAATTGGAGAGCGATGTATTGTAAATATATATACATGCATATGTATGTGGTTAGTTTTCAAACGCCCAAGTCAGGTAGGAAAGTGTTGGACAAAGGAATAATATGCAAATTATATAGAGAACTTAAATACTGTTGTAGTTTGCACTCAATAGGCTTGTAAACAAAGGGCACTGACAATGCGGACAACGACCGAGCGCAGGACACGCACTTGACAGCGGCCATTATTGTTGTTGTTAGTTTTAATTGTTCTCATGGATTTGCAAATATGATGCACAGTTCGCGTGGGTCAGGCCAGCCGCTTGCCTGCATGTGTGGGTGGATTTTCGCTATCCGGCAATTGTTTGTGCCATTGTTCACACGCTAAGAATGAAAAATTACACGCTTTGTTAATTGTCCCAGCCCCGGTCTCGGACCCGGTCCCGGTCTCGGACATGGCCCTCAGCTGAGTCCATTTGCATAAATTGCTTGGTAGGATTCTGAGTGGGTTTGGCTCCGCTCTAGTTTAAAACCACGGCTTAGGACTGCGCTTGAGAAAGAAGAAGGGAGAGATATAGATTATGAGCATTTTCAGTTTTATGGCTTGGCACCGGCGACACACGACGCGGAGGAGAACTTATGCCTGGCTTTGTTGCATTCTTCTGGCTTCCAAATATGTTTACTTTCAACGAGAGAATAATGCAGTCTGCAAATCCTTTTTAGCGAATCAAACATAGAAAACTGAGAGGGCAGCATACCTATAGTTTTCTTGCTGTTTCCCTTCTCTCTTTCTCTCTCGTTCTCTCTTTCTACAATAACAAGCAATGCAAATGGCGCGCTTGCAGTTCTTGCTGTCAAGTGGCGCGCAATTTAAATTGATGGCCATTTGCAAGTAGCTGCTGCCACGCGTAAAACGCTTTTCATACATTAGCACTTGTTTTTGTTGTTGTCAACTAATTAACGTTCGTTTAGGAAATGGTAATGGCTGCGTTATTGTTCGGGTTGCTCCCCATTTTGTGTTTACACAACAACAATTGGTTGCAAGACAAAGTGTATCTAATTTCAGGGGGCAAACACAGAAAGCAACAACAAAATGTTGAGCCGTAAAATGCAACAGCAAAATGCATTAATTACGCACACACGCTGCACACAACCTGCGACATCTGCCAGACGCATTTGTAGCTATTTAATGAGGCATTCAATGCACTTACAACCTTGCGCCTGTCAATACAGCGCCGTCGACAGCCAGAACGACATCTGTCACCCGTTCTGTGCGCTATAAAACCGCAGTCCGCAGCTCCTAGTCCCTGGCGAGTACAATTTAGAAATCGATTTGGTGGTAAATTGAAATTGTTGTTTGTTTTTTCTTGGCCGTACTCCGGCCAAAGACAACGTCTGCACACGCCTCCCTCGACGCGACGCGTCTCAACGTCCTCGTTTTGGCTTCAGACGTGGGTGGTGACGCATGTCATCGTAAACTTCATCATTGGCTACATTCTCTGCCGACGAAATAAACTAGGGAAACCCAACAACAAGCAACTTCAGCTTACATAACAAATTTTGTATGTTTTCTTTGTTGTTGTGTTTTTTGGCTGCTGTTGCCGCCGCTCTTCGTTTCAGTCTCTGCCCATTTCATAAACATCTTTAGCCATTATGAGTCTCCGGAGTATTCTCCCTGTGCAACTGTTGCCTCCGTTGGGCTGCAACCGAATTTCATGCCTTGTCGAGCTATTTAATTGCAAACAAATTATGTTCTGGCCATTCGCAGTCGCCGTCGCAGTTGCCGTCGCAGTCGCAGTGTGGCTAATGGATGCTGCACCACCGGCGTCATCTTCGGCGGCTGATGATGTTGTTGAAATTCTAGCGTTTATCTTGTAAATTGGTTGGGATTAATGTTAAGCGGAAGTTGTGATTTGAGTTGCGTCTGCTGGCTGCTGCTAGATGCTGGTCCAATGATAAAATGCCAACTGGCTGCAACATGTTCATTTACCTACAGCAAAGTGTGTGGGCGTGATGGCTTTGAAGTATCCTTTAGATCTGCCAATTAGCAAAAGGTATTTGGTATCTGGGCGATGTACATGTCTGTCTTAAATAAGGGCTGGTCAATTGGGTAGGGTAATAATCTAAAAGGCGCCTTAGTCAGATTTATATATCTCACTGTACCATAATTTATGAAATATGAAGTCCTGCTGCTAAAAAATGTTTAAAAAATTTGCATAAATAGAGGCAGCTTTTATGGTTTGCGATGACCACCAATAAGTCAATCAATCAATCAGTCAATCAATCAGTCATTAACAACAAACAGTTTTATATTCATATAGAAAGCAACGTTTTATTATGCAAACTAATTGCTAGCTTATTTATTAATCAGGCGAGACTCAGCTTAAATTTCTACAATATATAATATCAAAGGCATTAGCGACAGAGTCTTGAGTATCTGTGGCAACTAGCTGCCGCCGCCCAGGATGGCTGATATGGTGAAGCCTTTGCGCCTGGCGGGTGCCTCGGGCGCCGGGTGCTGCTCCAGCGGAGAATGTGATGTTGCTGTCGTTGTTGTCGTCGTCTCGCTGCCAACATCTAGCTCCGCTTCATCAGTTGTCGATTCGTCGGATTGCTGAACGGAAATGTTGTGCGGCAGGGCAAGCGCCGGAAGTGGTGGCAGTGCGGCTTGCAAAATGGACGCTGGCGGATACAAATGCGACGCTGGCGTCGCTCCATTGTACTCATGTGCGGGACGGCCAAAGTAGGTGCAGGCCAGGTCGACCAGCGAGGGTCGCAGCAGCGTCTGCATGTTCTGCTGAAAGTGCTGCATGAATGTGGTGGCGCCGGGGGGCGAACCCATTGAGATGGCGCCAGGCACAGGCACCGACCCAGGCCCAGGCAGAGCTACAGGCACAGGCTCAGCGCCATCCAGTGATGACGATAACGAACAGGCGGAACCATTTGATCTCAGGCGCTTAATTTGCGGCCCATCCTGTTCGCTGTTGTTCGAGGTTGTTGCCGCTTCTGCTGCTGTCGATGTGGATTTGCCTGGCGACATGTCAAGCGAGCCAGGGGACTGCAAATGCGTCTGGGGCAGATCTTGATCGTCATCGGTTGGCGATGAAGACATTTTGCGTTTGCAGCGCGATTGTCCCGTTTCGCGGAAGCCCTTGGCAAACGGATTGTTGTCGATCTTCAGCTTCGTGATGCGATCATTCTGTGAAAGCAAAAGAAATAAAGAGTCAATGTTACAGCAGTTGTATTTGCAGTTGTAAATTGCATGAAATATGACAATTGCCCGAGACAGACGCAGTCACATAATCTTTAACCAGCGTCCAGTAGCTGGCGTTAAGTAACAGGGCCACTTGACACCGCAGCCCCGGGAGTCATGCACTTGAGCCTTGGAGTCGTTGTCGCTCTGTCATGACTTGACAACTTTGTGAAGATGATCTTGTGGAAGCGATCAGGCTAATTAGAGCCAGACTGACGACTGGCGGCCTGGCGACCTGGTGTCGCTGTCAATGAGCCCAGACATAGACAAAAACACAGCGAGTGGCACAAGGATGTGGCTATCCAACTTCCCAAAATAACAACAAGCCAGCAACCCATTGTGGCATTCGTAGACAAAGGGCGTTGCATGCTAATTTGAGACGTTGGTCAGGCTACCCACGGCGTGAGCGATCGTTGCCGAAATTAACCAATTAGTGTGCCCAGCTCAATGAATTGGCAAAATCAAATCTGTGTGGAACTTACCTGGTACGCTGTCACTGCCACAAACTCCGTCTCGGCAAACACAAAAGCCTGCTGCGGCGCCCAGGGTATCTGCGCCAGATCAGCGGTGCGTATGACATGCAAACGTGGCTGATACTTGTGCATGCTGGCCAGCACAATCTGCGAAAGGGAGCACAAATGAGTTCATTGATTATGGGTTCGGGCTCTCCAATTACTTACATGCCCGCTATTGTCCAGCGTATTGTTGGTCAGCTTCACCTTGTTGAAGAGTATGGGCTGGGCCTGCCAGTGTGCGCCTGTTGCTGGACTGTCCGGATGGAGGTACATGCGCTGTGGACTCTGTGGCTCGGCGCCACCAGCTGGCACCCATTGCGAGCCGGAGAACTTGTAGCGGCAGTCGCCAATGGGCACCATTTCTAGCAGGACGCAATAGCTTGTCTCGTCCTCCAGGCCTGAAACGCTCAGGCGCATCGAGGGAAACATGCGTCTGCAATTAGAGAGAGAGGGAGACAAAAAATGGATTAAGTTCAAATAAAGTCAACAAGTTTGAGGCCACATTTAAAGAAAAAACGAAATGGAAAAGATGAATCCTTGTTAGAAACGTGGGCGTTACAAATATTTAATTGTGAGTTGCTCGTGGGCCATGTAATTAGCCTAGGAAACGCACAAAAAAAAAGGAATAAGAAAACAACAAATAAAGGCCAGACCCTAGTTTTTGTATGCTGTGCTAACAAGGACCGAAGCGCGCTGATCGAAAAACTACGCAGAACAGAGACCGAGACCCTGCCACATAGGCGCAGCAGGTGGCCAGCGCGCTTGGCGCCAGCCTTCCAATGTTTGCTCTCCTCCGAGAACGTCTCTGGTGCTGCTTCGGCTT